CCCGTCATGCAGCCCCGGTGGCCACCGTATTGATTGGAGGGGCAGTGTTCCTGCCCTTCAGGCGGAACTTCGTGTGACCCTTGAAGAAGGGACGGCGCGGCCCTCCAGCCCTTCGGCTCGGTCCGTCCCCTACTGGCCAAAAAGCAGCCCAGCCCGCTGGAGCGCATGCGCCGGAAAAGAGGGAGAGCAGCGTAACGCAAACTCCCTATGCCACGTGCAAAGGCGTAACTTCCATCGCAACAGCACAAACACACACACAACGCAGAGAGGCAGTTTGTTTTTCCGCGCGCTCCTTTTTCTCACTCGCACATTGTGGCGTTAGGTTGGCCACCCTTTATTCATAAATAAATGAGTGGATGCAGACCTGGGGTGGGGTTGGTGAACCTGTCGGGCGGTCCCTTAGACGCCACCGCCTGGTCAAACATCTCATGGAAAATGGAGAGAGCTGGCGACGTGCTACGTCCCAGTTAGTAAGTCGCCTGAGGTGCAGCACATCTCAGCACCCAGCATAGGAGAGCAGCGGCCCAGCCGAAAGTACATGTGCTGGTGCTGGACTTTAGGGAATATACAAATAAATGTTCGTAAAATGCGTTTTATACCGAAGAACGGTGAGACACCACCCCTCGCCCCTCACTTATGCTCCCCCCGTGCACGCTCTGCCGCGTGGCTTATCTGGGATTACCGTCCGATCTGCCTAGGGCCTGTGACCTTCTGACCTCGCATGAGAGCGAGCTCAAGCAGTACGCGCGCCACAGATCCCAGCCGAGCTCTGAGCGAATATTGTCTTCATGGGCAACATTCTGCCTCAGACTTCCAGTTAACATTTCAAGGCATCGGACAAGACGCCTGCGATTGTGTACATAATGGACCGTAAAAGAACCTCATGCAATATCCCTCAGTCGTGCTCACTCGCAACGTCTCCCTCCACCCCTCGCTCTGCCCGTATATGAAACGCCACCTATTGTTCTCTCATCCGACACAACCATCAAGCAGAGCGCGCACCTTCTTTGTTCCCCCTCCCGTCCCCGTTTCACCCCCTCCTCCCTCCGAACCTCCCTCGTCCTATCCTCCTCCCCCTCCCGCTGCTCCCACTCTCCCACCCTTCACTACCCAGCAGCCAACGCGCGCGTTTCGCTCCCAGGATGTGGCAGACGCTTGCTTCTTGCTTTAATGAGGATGGTGCCTCATCCATAAGGAGGTCCTAAGTAGACTTTAACGAGAGATCGTGCCGTAAACGCAGGAGAGGGCCGCTGCCTCCCTTTCTCTAACAATTACGGCAGGCACAGGGCTTGGTTGCGATTGTTTCCCAAAGTTTTAACGAGCAGCTCACCTGGGCGGGGCGCTCGTGTCCTACGGAAGATATCCTTCCGGGGGTGGGACTGGAACGTGGGCTTAAAAGTCTGTAAATGTTGCACTGCATAAAATCTTTGCCCATCGTCTGCCCACCACGTGTCCCCTGCACTTCTTTGAGGCTATCTCTTTAAGAGCGTTCGAACGAACGAACGGACGATCGAACGGCGGGACACAGGTGAATAAAGTAATAAAAGCTTGCACATTGCAAATTATGTTAAATGACATTTTGAAGATGGAGGAAGTGACGGAATTGCTTTCCACTACAAATACTGACACTTGTGTGCAGAGACATACTCTCGGTGTTCAGACGTGTGAATTCGGAGACTGTCTTCCCAACGCATTTAGTGCCAATATTGGGGGGGAATATTAAATCCCGTTAATTTGTCATTCTTTAAAATATGTCATTTCATAGATTGCAGCAAATTTAAAAGCTTTAATAAGCCCATTTACTCCTGCCCTCTTGAAAATTCTGTCAAAAGAGTCGTCGCGATGTCGTAATTCCCAGCTCGTATGAATCTGTTCGGTGGACTCCCACAACTTAGCAGTGTACCAGTAGAGCAAAGTTTCTAACAGGACGTCTACACAACCTGAACGACGCAGATTCCACGTCATTCAAAGCCTCCCCCCCGCCTCCCCCCACCTGACCCGACGCCGCTCGCGTGGAAGAAGTCAAAGGGAAGACCAAGAATGAGGCAAAAGAAAACGTTTGCCGGCCACGTTTGAGCTTGAGGTTCTCCCCCACGCGGCGGGCACCAGCGGGTGGCAGTGGTGGCGGGGAGGATTAACGCGCTGATGCGAGAGCTTAGTTTGATTGCGGAGTGATTACGAGGGGAGCGTAGGGGTTGTGTGCGAGAGGCAAGCATCGCGGATGTATGGCGTTTCACACCGATTAGTGCGGGCATGATAACAACTGTGTATCATTGGTTTTCTGATTTGTAAGTACGATTCGGATTTCACTTCTTCACTGATAAACCAAGTGTTCAACTGCTCAACACTTGTAAGTGTGCAACCGCAAGTTCAATACTTGCAAGTGTACAATTCAGTAGTAGCACAGTTGCAAGTGTTCAACTCGGTATTTGTGCACTTGTAAGTGTGCAACTCCTCTGTTAAACACTTCCCCCACAGAAAGCGAACGATATAGACAAGTGTACAACAGGAGAGTTGAACACTTACAAGTGCACAAATACCGAGTTTAACACTTGCAAGTGTACTACTACTGAATTGAACACTTGCAAGTATTAAACTTGCGGTTGCACACTTACAGGTGTTGAGCAGTTGAACACTTGGTTTATCAGTGTTCTCTAGTGGGGCCGTTTTAGTTTAACCATTCAAAACGTTTGCCTAGTTGGCGAAGAGCTAGGGAAAGCGCTATTTTTTAAAATTCAAATTACGAAGTATTTTATTTAACCTTCTCACTGCAAAAAACAAATTTCAGGTTTCATCAAAACATTTTCTTCCGCTGGAAGAAAATTGTCTTCGAAGACAAATTTTCGGAATCTTAGCCAAATCCCACGCCGGACGAGCTTACATGTAATGCGGTTTTGTTAAAAAATGGCAAAAAATTTTACATTTTAAAAGGTTTTTTCATTTAGTGTTCATTTGCTTACCGTTGATCAGAACCCTATCAGGTATGCTCGTTCGACGCGGAATTTTACGAGGAAATCATATTAAAATAAGACATTAAAACTGCCGAAAGCTCTAAACTTTCGCATGTTATTTTTACATGTTATGTTATGTTAGTTTTACACTAGTGGCGAGGTACTAATTCGGTTCAATTCGTAAATGAAACGCGCTTACTTTTCATCTTGTCTGCGGATTAATACAAAATTTTGATCATGCGGAGAACGCCTGGGATTCACAGAGACGCCAGGTGGGGTGGTAGGTGGACCCCCGTCCCGACGCGCACACGACCAGTGGACCGCCCGGTGCGACGCGGTGTAAGTGAACTCACAAGCTGAGCAGCCGGGGGCAGCTACTGCCATTGCCACCATGCTCGTAGGGGTGGGAGTTTATGTTCCCACCTGAACTACTCAACTAAGCAAAATCCACTGCCGTTCTGTTTCTTTTAAGAGAAATGTGGTGGAAAGTGACTTTCATTGTGGAATTTTGACGAAGGGGGCGGGGAGGGGGGGGGAGGTGAAGAGGGTGCATTTTTTAATTAACTATCGACGTGGACGCACGAGTTCATTGAAGGAAAATTAATTTTTGATTGGAGATCAAACGATAGATGTGAATCTTACATTGGCACACATTTTACCAAGGTTTATCTAGCTATGGTCGGTCGGTTGGTAACGCACTGTTTATAAGCCCACGAAGTCTTGCTTTGTAATGCTGCGAAGAGAACAAATGCTTTCTAATTACCCAGCGATAGTTTGCTTAGAGTCTATTTGTTATTGTAAGGTAATAATGCTTCGTGGTGTACAAAGCATTATAGCCATAGCCCTGCAATTTGAAAAGCGTCTGTCTGCAAAGCATTGATTTGGAATACTTTAACAGTGTGTGTTTTATATTTGTTCGCTCTCTTCTGTTTTGCTACTTCCAGGCTCGCACTCAGGCCGTAGCTTAAGTGCCCCCCCCCCCCCCTCCTCCTTTCCTCGGGTATGCAATTGATTTATATCTAATGACAGCAAAGAATAACAAAATCGAGCAAAATAAAACAAACAGAAATATCCTAGAATGTGTCCTGCCTGTGTTCCAGATGCAAAAGTTTCTGGTTGATCGTTGTATGATTCAGGTCCAGTCGTGCTCTCGAACAGGTGTCGGGGCGGGACTGGCGCGGCGTGCAGTAAAGTAGAGGGAGTTGCTGCGCGGCCGGCGCAGCTCAAGTGGAAGCCCCCACGCCGCGCCGCGCCACGCCGAGCAGCTAGGGGGTTTCCGCTCAGGTGAATCGCGTGGAAAGAGAAGTTTCAATCGGACTCGTTTCCTTGGTATATGTTCCGTGTTGCGATTTTCCCATCGGCGGGTGTCTGACCGGAGGGGCCGCCATAGGAGCGGGCACGGTCGGTTCTTTTGTGAGCGGAAAACGCTCAAGACCTGAATGAACTTTGAGGACCGAGTAAGCACAGCTACCAGAGGGTCGGTCTCTTCCCGACCGTCAGCCTCTCTCCTCACAATCTAGTATTATTTTTGTATTGCTGCGCCGCCGAGCTTTCCCTTTCGTCACGCCAGACGTGGACGGGGGGAACTGGGGGACCAGCGATGGCGCTGGGAGGACGGCGGGTGGGGAAATATTGACGTACCGTCACACCGGAATGTCGCATGCGTTTGACTCCCATGGCTCGGGAAGCGATGCACCTGAACTGCCTCTGAAAGGTATGCAGCAACAGCAGCAGCAGCCCGAGCACACTGTGATGTGAGTCAACAACAGCAGTCTGCCGCTGGTAAACGCTGCAGCCGTTCATACCCGGCGTTTAGGTCTCTGCTCTACCCAACTCGCGCTGCCCAGGAGGGGTAAAAGAGCGCGGAGGATAAGGAAGGATGCTGGAGACAGCAGCTCTGTTGCATCGCGCGACACCCGCGGACACAAGTTTCTCACTAATCCCCTATAGATCCTTTAGAGATGTGGGGTGTGCGCTAAGTTTAGCAGGAATTACTCCCCGAGGAAGAGAAGCAGCGGATTGAGCTTGGAGAACTAGGTATAATAAGTTGGGGTTTGGAATGTGGAGGGAAAGGACGGCAAACCACGTCACTGCGGTGAGGACGGGGCCTTCTTCAACTTCAAATAGGACTCCCACCCCACTCCCCCCTCTGCAGTCCCCCACCCCACGCACAACATCCCCTCCCCGCGTCATCGGCTTTCTGGCGGCACTTGGCTGTCCCCGCTGGCCCGGGACCGGCCGAGCTGCGCCTCAGGGCCAAGTGTAACCAGGCATTAAACTGTTATCCCCCGGTTAGCGGCGACAACGGCCGGGGGCGTGGCGGGGCGTGGCGGGGCGTGGCGGGGCGTGGCGGGGCGTGGCGGGGCGTGGTCGCCCCATTGTTGCGCCATGATCTCTCCGCCCCAGGCCGGAGTCGGCGGGTCCCTTCTGTCTCTCATCCTAATTGCGCTTCTACGTTTTCGCGCCGTCGAATACGCATATTGCGAGGGTAGAGGGGCGCTCGCTCCACGCACTTTGGCATCCCCTAACCCTTCACAAACACATACGTACACACAAACGAGCACGCGCTCACTTACTTATTGTTGTTATTATTATTAATATTATTATTATTTTTAGTAGTAGTATTGAGGGGTGGTCCGGCCGTACTTACTTGTGTGGGCGTCAGGTGTATAAGACTCGCTAAATGCTCCCTTTCAGGAGCGGACAGGTACTTCTGTTGCTTAAATCTTCTTTCCAGCTCATAAACCTGTGTAACAGACGAATACGGGCTTAGTCAAAGAATCTGTTATTCTCTTTTCTTGTCTTATCCTTTGCACAGATAAAAAATGTGTGTTTAGGTCACAACTGTGTTGATGAAAAACAGCAATTCCGTTCGACAACAACAAATTTGTTTAATAACGTGAAAGTTGTTGGAACCTTACTTTATGTTTTCCAATAATGCAAAACTTGAAGCACGCAATTGAACATAATTGCTTTTAGTTACAAATATTGCTGTTATATGTACATGATCAGACGATTTGTTGAACAGCAACAGGAGACAGTGAAAAAACCTTACAACAATTTCGCTATTAATTAACATCAGTGTTTTCCAGTGTATTCCATGAATCGCTTGTTTCAATCATTGCCTATGGTCCCTTTTGATTTTTGTTTGGGCGGTAATACGGGCGTATCGTCTGTTATTTTTAACGCAGTGTCTCACTACTTTCGAACACAACCATGAAACGTTCGAATATGTACTCCGCTCCGTCGGGTGGGTGGCGTATTCATCACCATATCAGTTTGACTTTCTCTCTGGCGCACAGCAGCAGCATCCACACGCGGCGTCCGCGCGTGTTAGAGTGTGTATGTGAGAAGGGTGCAGCTCATCTGGGACAATGCAGACGTCAAAACACATAGTAACTCATTCAAGCTCTAGCCTAGATGTTTGGCTCTGCATGAGACTGGCTTGGATTCTCCTTTATAACGCCAGCTCTCTGATCATAGTTCGAAGTTCTTATCCCCCACAGCATTACTATAATGTATACGCACTGAGAAAAGTGATTTGTCGTAGTAATAACCGAAAAGAGAGTTGAACCTATGAAAATTTGCTCCCTCCCGCCGGATAAGGCATCGTCCAGGAAGTACATCCGTTTTCCTCAAATTAATTCATCAGATTGGGGGAGCTCGACGCCTGCGAGGCTCAAGGTAGGCCACCCCGCAGTACACGCATGCACTGCAGACTAGATGGTGTCTGCCTACCAGGCGCTACGAGAGCTTGCTGGGGCTAAACTTGACAGCTTCGCGAAGGAGAATGACAAACGTACTCTCTGGATGATCCCTAACCTAACGGCTGTCAGCCGGATTATCTTAGTCGTCCCCGTTTCGGTACGACTACGAAGTATTCAACTTGTAGTTGCACACCTACAAGTGTTTGAGCAGCTGCACACTAAGTTTACTAGGTAGATTTACTCCAGACCACGTCTCGCGTAACAGGCTTAGCGATATCTCACGAAATACTGTTACGCTGCGACGCGCGTAGCATATATCTACCGAGGCCTGTGGTGGTGTCACCCGAGTCGGGCAAAAGGCAGAGTCATCAAGATGCCTTTGGCCTCAAATGTGACAAACTTTATTCAATAGGGTTTTATTTTGACTATTCACCCCAACGAAAACCATCAATCCGTCCACAAATTCTGAGTGGTATTGTGACCAATTATAGCAGTTCTCACTTCAGCCAACGCTGTTGTAAATCCTTGCTTTTTAATTGCTCAAGCACACGAATTTGATTCAATTGTGGTGCCGACTGGCTGCGGGGCCCTGCTGGCCGAGCGGAAGGCGTTTTACATTGTCGCACGGTATGAAAAGGGGGAAGAAGGGAGAGAGAGCGTGGGTGGTGGAGCGAGGCGAGGCGCTTCACCCGGCGCCAGCGGGGACAAAGGAGCCAGGCTGCAGCCCAGACACCTCCTAGAGAGATCCGGCCAGATCACGCACCGGATTCATTGAGATGTCGACAAACGAAATCATATCGTCATGTCCAGAATACAAGACGTCCAGACGGACCTGTGACAGCTACAGTGCGTGTGGACCGGTCGGCTGCTGGAGCCTCCAGACCTCCAGGACGCGCAGCACATCCCATCCTCCGGCCAAGCGCCCCTCCCCCCCTCTCCCGCTTCTCCCTTTCCCCCTGCGCGACGCCTCGCCACCACACGTCAGCGCTTCTCTGTTTGCTCTCGGTACGCTGCTATTAGTGTGCCGAGTGTCAATACGACTACTCCAATAACGTCCGGACGGTGACACAATAAGTGTGGATGTGTGTGTGTGTGAGGGGGGGGGGGGGGCTAGAGATTAGGGACAAATATACCGCATTTCAAATACCAACAGCATTGCCGTTAACTCTTTAACTGAGACTTCTCTTAACTACGATAAAAAATGTGTGTCACCTGCCGCCGTGCTCTGCGTCGTGGTGTGGAGCAGGACTGACGTGACCCTTTCAACGCGTTTCATGGTACGTAAACCAGAATAGTTTGGTGACAGCGTATTACAAGCCTTTCGCCGCAGGCTGACACTTGACATGATTTCCATTGGAAAGACAGGAAGGAGGCGTTTAGTCATTGTTTTTGTGGCCTCGCTCTCGGACAATTTGCCCGTTACAAGCATTTTCCCTACAATTGCAGTTTTCCATCACTCTAATCCTCACTGACATTTTCTTCTCGGTCTATAGCTTAACGTTTTTAGGTAGGAGGATTTGACCCAAAAATAAGGGTTTCGTTGCTTGTTTGTTATTTACGTCGTTGTTCTCTCCATTAGAATAGGAATATACATATCTGTAAACCCAACTGTGTACATAGTACACTCTTCCTTGTGTGTACCATCTGTGAAAGCAATACACCACAGTGTTGCGAGTTTGCCTATCTGATCCGACCGTAAGGTGTCAGGGTATGCAAACCCGCAACACTGGGAACTATTAGCCTTTACACTCGATACTTGGAAGCGCACACAAGGAAGTATATGTGCATGGCAAGAAAGTGTGTACATGGGTGGTACACACTTCCTTGTGTGTGCTTTCAAGTGCACACTTCCTTGTGTGTGCTTTCATGTACACACAAGGAAGAGTGTACTATATCCACAGTTGGGTTTACACTTGTATTATGATGTTTCTTGTCCTCTGCTATCATGAAAGTGATGCACTACTGTCGAAAGCTCACTCGCACTCCTGCGTGTTCTACAGTGTAACCTAACCAATAAGTAGTATGCCTGATAAACATGCTGATCTGCTTTATGTTTAACTACACTTACCTGAGCTTGCGTAAATAGGACTCGGCGCTTTCTCCTCTGGGTCAGGGGGAACTGCATGGGTTTGGTTTCGCCTGTCACTGAACATGTGGACAGGCCCATGGCATTGCCCATGTTCATGTTCATATTCATGGATGCCGTTGAAGAGCTCATCAGCCGGGACACTGAAACAAATAAAAGGAACCACAATAAGTTTTCTGTATTTAAAATATTACGCTTTTATGTTGTTTTGGGAGTAGTCAAGTCAGTAGTAAGTCACAAGTACTATGGCTACCCCATTCTGCCCTGCTCAGGTTACCTCTCCACTTGCCAATTGCTACTTGGACTGACAAAAATATTGTACTGAGGCACTCCAAATGCACAGTAGTTCTTTACGTGATTATTGTACTTTTTGCTTTAGTGACCACAAAACTTCATAATAGAGGCTACTGTGAAATCACAACACTTCTTTGTAGTCAAAATTAGTGGATTTTGCTATCTTACTTGGAAATACTTGTGAACCAATCGTAATAATTTCTAGAGTTATTAATTTTTGACAGCGAAGAAGAGTTGTGATTTCACAAAGAGTTCTGGCCACTTTTTTAACAACGAATTCTTCGTGAAGTTCTGACTTGCTTTTTAACAGTGAAGTTCACACCCGGTATTCACTCTCTTGGCCTCCTAAGACTTAGTTGCTTAGGTTGCTATTGGCGCTATTGGAGACGCACAAACGCCACAAATCCCTCCGCAGACGATGATGGATGCGGAGCACGTCAGGTCATGACAAGGCACGACACATCCGTCGGAAGGAAGCAAATGCCAGCGTGTTGGCAAACATTGTGTTTTGGTCCTGTTGCTCTGAGCAAACACATTGATGGATGTGAGCTACGTGATTCGAATACATATCGTGGTTGCGTGGTGCATCTTAGGAACACATAATGCAAACAAATAGTTCAGAATTTATCCCACTTAGTTTGCAGAGACAGTAATGACATATGTCTCATACCTTGGTCTTCCTAGTAACATGAAACTGCTGCCCAAAGTTCGATCGATAGTCTTATGTTACCATGGTTTACGAAGGCAATCACCTATACGGACCGAGGTATGGACTATCTCAATAATGAAGATATCACTAACTTTTCTTATTTTATTTTTTGCAGGTGTCCTGCTTGCCGTCGAACACGTCACCGACTGTGATTGTTTGCCCTCGGAATGGTGGAGCAGGGGGAGCAAGAGGAGAAGGAAGAGAAAAGGACAGATGATAATCTCTCGGAGTGAAGAGGCGACCACGTCCGAGGCCGGGGCGGCGGCCAAGGCGACCAGCGCGCACGGCGCCGTGGACGCGCGAACGCTCCGCGGTGCGCGCATCGAGCCGGGGACATTTCTGCAACCCGATCCTTGAAGGTAAACAAGGAACCAAACGGTGGGGTGGCTACCGACCACTCACACGCACACACAGAGGCGCGCTCGCTCACACACTGAGGCCTGGCTCTAAAAGGACAAGTCTCGTGTAGCGCTGGCGGCCGGGGCAGAGGAGAAAAGTAAACTTCCCGCGCGTAACGCATAGAAGAGCTGCATTGAAAAACGTGCGGGTGCGATGATCCACGCGTCATCCTTAATCCCCATTTACACTTCACGCGATGTAAGAATCGCAGAGTTATGGTTAGTCTGTTAAATGTCTACTGGAACCTATACAGGTTCTGATCTGCGCACACTACATTATTCACAGGATATCGGTCGATAGGGCGGTTTTCGACCAAGCGACAAGGCGCCAAACGTCAAGTGTACTATAAGCAAAACCCGCCCATTAAGTCACCGTTTGCTAGATACATACCGATGGCCAGACTCCGTCCTCCTTCCTCCCAACATTGTTTCTGGTCCAGGTACGATCCTGCGAACAGCAACAACAAACATTCTAGATGGAGTGTAGGATCTCAGGCAGGACGCGGCCGCAGCAACACTCCTGCCAGCCGCGCAAAGAATAATGCTGGAAAGTAGCACGGCCACACGAGGCGTCAGAGAGTGCGCTGCGGCCTTACTAACTCACCCCAGCAGGGTCTAAAGAAACAAGCGCGGATTAATTCTTTTCCCTTCAACGCTAAAGCAGCAGCCATGACAGCCCTGTTGTTTGATGAGTAAACAACGAGGGAGGCCTTGAATGAAGGAGCGACGCTGCGGCCGATAGTGCAGATAACCGTTGCCATGGCAACGAGAATCTGCAGCGGCATCGGTACCCACCCAACACACGCATCTTAATAATTATTGTAACCGTGCTACCCCGCCATCTCCACTCTATGCCGCGTGGTTCAAGGGTCGCAATGATGCGCTTGTCTCTCTCTCCCTATCTTGCTTTCTCGCGCTCCCACTTCCCCTCTCTTTTTCCGCTCCTCAAAGTCACCTACGAAAGGAAAACAGCTGAGTGGAAAAGTGACTTTGGAAGAGTCAACACAGAGGCAAACGAAAATAGAAGACGGGGAGAAGCAGACACAAGACAAAACAGTTTGCGTATTGCATAACTTGAAAACTGTGATGTATGTTTTTTCCCAAGCAGCTGTTCAATGGAACACTATGCTGAAGTGATGTAAATCAAGAATGTGGTTTATATTTATAGTTGTAGCAGGGGGAGGTAGGGGCTCAGTAGGACATGGGAAACTATGTGATCTTGTCTATTGCGAACAGTTTTAAGATGTCAAAGTAAATTGACACATTACGATTTAAAGAGTTTGACCACTGGGAGCATATAGTGACAAATTTGTATCTACCGGACAAACTAAAATTTTGTGGGAACATTGGGACAAGCAACAAATTTGAAATTTGGTAAAAGTATCTGCCGTTAAAGACTGTGATGTTTTAAAGATCTAGCTGACGTTAGTCGGTTGAATCAAAACCCAACATTGACTTCCGTGGGAGATAAAGACACTGACTAATCTGTAGGTTGCATTTTGCGTTTATCAATTTCTACAAATGGTAATAGTTTGTTTCCATTTTACTACCCACACGAAAGTTTTATGAAACTTGGCAGTGCAGTAGCTACAAAAACAAGCGGCATGTGCGTCCCATTGTGACACCCGCAGGGAGCGCAGACGAGGTGGGCAGATGGGGTTGGCCCGCCGGCAGCGGCCACTCGACGTTCGAAAAACAACGAGGACCACATCTGTTCAGACGCAACAGCCCGTGCTGGTCGGGCTAGTGGGATCGGGGCCAATTCAGAGGAGAGAGCACTCTATGTAGGCTTATGGCGTTTTCATGAGCCACCTCCTCCTTGTATGATTTAAAATAGAAAGTTAAGCTCGAGATACGGCCCGCAAAATTTGTGTACCCATATAGGAACGACTGAAATGTGCCTTCGACTAGTTATTGACAATGAGCAAATAATGCTCGCGAAAGAAAATTACATTCAAATGTGTGCCTACCACGTTGCATGGGCAGTATGCCACAATAATTTAAAGGCATGACTGTCGGTGCTATGTATGTAATACTTTCTCGAGTGGCGGTTCAACGCGTTCACCTTTTTCAGGCAGGCGCTGACTCACGCCTTCTTATGATCTGCGACAAAGACTCATGCCTGCTTCTCACCTTTAACCTTACCCCCACCCTCTCTCTCTCTCTCTCTCTCTCTCTCTCTCTCTCTCTCTCTCTCTGTTTCCCTTATGCGCACCCCACCTATCTCCTACTCCCAGACCTTCAGATAGTGGTGTTCCCTTTCTATATTTAGTGAAAAGGCAAAAT